ATTTTGATTGCCACACGATTTTACAGGCATATCATTATTCAGTGTCTATCAGTGATTACTGAAAGCCACTCGCTTCCTTGTTCTGTTAATTAAGAAATAAATAAGATGGGATAAGCTATTTTGGACATTATTTTTAAAAAGAGAGAATGAAATTACAATATAACTGTGTAGAATTTAAAAATAGGCCTACAAACATACTTATGAGTAAGATTTAGCATTTAACAGGAACCATTTTTCATGTGGTTACGGTCGTTAGGTTTCAGGTATTGAATATAACAATCTGCTTGTTTTTTTTCTTATAAAGAATTATTAATTTATCTCTGTCCTTTATTTGCTATTAATGCAAAAGTAACGTTTAAGCATTTATTCGTGATTATAAAAAACAGTGTTATTTCTCCAAAGATAACGTTGATATCCAAAACAATGACAGTTTTTATTTGCAATTTAACGTTTCATTTTTTTAAAGTATTTTTAATCGACCCAATTTATAAAAATCGTGACTTTCAATAAATGATCATATCGCGAGTTTCGTGGCCAACCTATAATAAAGTTATTTTGCTCAAAGGTTTATTTGTCCTGTTTCATTGCTGAATTCTTTTCTAGTTAATATGTATGTGTCACTAAACATATGAATATCAAATTTATTCGATTAAAAAAAACCTATCAGATAATCACTCGGAGAGCAAAAAATATTTAATATCAAAAAAATTCTTGTTTTAACTTAGAAGCAGCTCAATAACTTAAATAATATTAATAGATTTGACTTGATACTAAAAGTTGCATGCAAGAATGAATATCGAGATAAGCATACAAGTCATTTTAAGATACTGTATTCTTTTTTTTCTGTAGACTTTGATAGTTATTCCTACATAAAATGTTTTCTACTAGCGTTTTGTTCTTAAATTTGTATTGTTTGATGATATATTTTAAATGCTTTTTTCTAAGCCGCTAGGCTACAATACCCACTATTTATTTTGCTTTTTTAAAATATATTAATAGGAAAAAAATGATTACCGAAACTGAAAAAATATTAAAAATAAATATTAGATTAAACAGTATCATCAATAAGTATTCGACTACATTATACGTCTTTGAATGTTTCGATGAGGTTAAAAATAGTATTCGTGTTGGATGACACAATGTGTCCAGAATACCAAACATCACTAAAAGAGCTTGTCTCGCCTCGAGAATAAGCATCCCGTACCAGATGAACTAAAATTACACAGGTGTAATTCCATCGTGACAGCATTATTGCCTAAAGGTGGAGATTCAAGTGACACACTGTGGTCCTACTTTTTACGACAATTATCTTACTCCGCTTTCTACACACTTTAAATTATGAATATCGCAGGGAATTCTATGCCTGAGGAAGAAAAGAAGTACTTTATAATGCTAGGTTTTCTGCGAACGGTTCCATAATTTTGAAACACGATTCAAACTTCATGAATATATTTTTTATGATGTTTTCGCACATTACAATTATATCCTTGGTAAGACAGTTTTGTTTATGCAAAGATTTTACCTTGAGAGGACGAATAGCGTCGCCACTAGTTGGCACCGCTCCTAATTTATTAAAGAGGAGGACAAATCGCCAACTCAAAAATATCTAACTTGTTTTGAAAAAATAAAATAAATTTTGTTCGCTTATAAAAGTGATTTTTTTCCCTCCCTTCAGAATGTTGTTCCTTCAATTATCTCATGAAATGAAAGCGTTAAATATTATTGGTCGTTAAGCAGTCAGACATGAATACAGCCTATTTACATTTGTATATTAATTTATTTTAGGAAAAAATTTTAAAAAATAATTACATTTAAATATGTCGTATTAGTCTAAATTACTGCCATTTCTAATCATTTTTATAATTTTACTGTATAAGATGCACAATTTTATTACCATTTATAAGTAGATAATTATTTTTATTTTACTGTATATTAAAAAAAAGTTTAAACTTTATATATATAAACAAATTTTATTTTTATTTGATTACATTTAATAATTAATTATCATATAATAAAGATCTGTAATAATTATTTTAATATGATTTATATCATAAAGTTATAGATGACATATTGTAACGTTATGCATCACTGTATAATTATTAAATGTTCAAAGGTATAAATAAAATTTAATTCTATTAAAGTTTGAATTATTCTGAATAATCAATTTCAATGTAATTAAATTATTTATACTTAAGAGTATATAAGCGTACTAAAAGAGCATAAAACGTTGATAAATTTTCTGAAATCTTATTCATAAATTGAGAGGTTCAGTGGAAAAGTGGTACAGTATAGTACTGTACACGTGAAAATATATTAGTGATAAATTTTAATATTGGNTAGTGCTTTTCTAAATAACTGAATTTTCGTAAAGCCTTAATGAACTTGTTAACATATTTTTCTTTATAAATATTAAATAAGGTTTAGCAAAGCGCCTCTTCCATACATCATATCTGTAAATTACTAAAAGACCTTTTTATCGCCAAATCATGTGATTTTCAAACTCAAGCTGGTATATAAGATTTCATTACTATAGTACTGCAAAGTACAGTATATGTAATTCTTATCGTTATTAGCCTATTGCTTTTTAATTGAATGCCAATTTAAGAGGCGAACAGTGGCACTAAATTGAGATTTGAGTATATGTTAAACTACTATTTAATTTGCATTTTTAAATAAGACATATTAAACTTATTTAACATTAAACTTTTTACTGACAAAAAATATATCATAGGTTTTCCAGAGATAAAATTTAATTAAATGTACTTATATATATATATGTGTGTGTGTGTGTGTGTGTATGTACTTTACGTTGAATAATGATAACTGATTTAAACTTGAAACGAAATAAAATACTGTATAATGAAATATGTGAACAACGTTCACCGGAGTGAACATAAAAAATAGATTGGAGGTTCGATTGTATGCAAATATTAAAAATATGATTACTTCTCGGCCGTAACATTTATATATTGAAGATGTTTTTATATTAAAATGTTAAACAAGAACTGAAATTGAATCTATTGTGTTTGAAAGTAAAAACTAATGCCTGTCATTAACAATGAATCTAAAAATAGCATTTATTGTAATTAGAATACTTTTTTCCTAAGAAATTTTATTATTAAATAATTATAATAAACTTATTAAATTTCCAAGAAACAATTCATGCAATTTTCTACAGAAAATATGAAAATATTAATATGTTAAATGGTATAAAATATTAGTTACTCTTTAAAATATATTTTGAAAATAATACTTTTGGTAATTTATAATTAATATATACTTTAAAATACGTAAAAATAAAGATACAAATTATAAAATTTAAAAACATTTTTTATCAAATAAAGTAGCTATACTTATTGTTATATTAATATAAATAATTAACTTATTAGTTTTTGATAGTAATAAGTTTATAGATAATTATTTACAGTGTAATCTAACGCGAAATATACCTAAAAGAAAAGGTAGAGTTCGGATTCTACGAGTTTAGATCACTTTTTATGTTATGACGAAACTGAACACAAAGCCAGTCTTACGTAAAAAATCTGATTAAATTAAGAATAATAATAATAATAATTGAAGTTATACTTCATTTGAAATTTAAATAATTAAAATATTAATTACTTTTTTTGATTGAGGGTATGCTGTAAACTAAACGATAGCGTTTATAAAAATCTTATAAACTTGATTTGATAATAATTAAAATTTTTATTAAATAGCATTATTTATAATAAGATAAAATTGTTAATACTTTAATTTAATAAAGTTACACTCATGAATATTTTCATCATTTTCTTCAATAAAGGAAAAAATCAAGCTATATTATATTAATATATAACTAATATACATAATTGATAGGCATAGGTTTTATTTTTCTTGAATTAGTTATTGTTAAAACATTGTAACAAAAATTACTATTTATATACAAGAAATTTTTTGCTTTTTAAAAGTTTTAGTAACGATATTCAAATCTATCATAATGACAAACAGGCTTAAGCTAGATAAAATGTAATACGCAAAATATGACATTCTATAAAATGAAAATGCAATTAAAATTGTTTTGTTTGTTTTATATTATAATTTGGCATATATTATTAATAACTTATACCATATATATTTAATTTTGGATACAGAATATCTTTCTAGAAGAAATGTATCTAATATTATAAACAAAAATACAATTTTCTTAATTCTCTCTTTCAAGAGTAAATTTGTTCTGTAAATCAATTTAATTTAACTTAAATAACGAAATTAGATTAATAAATTCATTATTTTCTAATCTATTAGTGTAATATCGATATACAAAATGAATAATAATTCATCGTTTTTTACTGAAGTTATAAACAGGAAAAATTATTAAAGTTTTATTTAGAAAAATTAATTTTTTAATGTGCTTAAATTTAAAATAAAATTATGAATTGAAGCTTCTATATTAAATTAAGAAATTATTTTTCTTATATATATAAATTATTCATTCATTTTACATATAATTAATTACAAACAAGTTTTTAAACCACTTTAATTGTATGCAATATTTCTGGAAACGCAAAAATATCACGTTTCCTAATTCTCTTCATTAGCATACGGAATAAACACTACCTCATTAGCAAAAGATAGGCTACAAGAATTTTATATAACTTATAGTGTCTTATTTTTTCACTCAATCCTTTTAATATAAGAACGTAAGTTTAGCAATTTAAATGAAAACAACCTTATATAATTTATTTATTTATCAATATGTTTTCATAATTAAGTGACAATTAATGACTAAGAGAAAATCCCTTAAAAAACATTTTAAGTTCAACATAAAATTTATATAGAAAATTTGGAAGTTATTAATGTATAAAATATACTAATATATTTGTAAGATATATGTATATCACAGATATATAACTCGATGTTATGTATGTAGGAAATACATAAATATATAAATAATACAAATATAGATCTAAGTAGAAATTTATACCTTTATATAGAATATAACGGTTATCTAGCTCCTAGAAATGTTTGGGGACTTCCTTATAGAGTGTATTTTCCCTGATCGCACGATGCTCGTTTGCTTAAATTAAGCAGTTAAGTAATGATAAGTCTTCCCCTTTTACAAAGGATAATAATTATTTGATGGTCATATAGGAAAAAGGGAAAATCCCTTTTTTTAGTGAGTCATTCATTATAAACCCTACTCATTAATTGTATGGAGGAAGAAATTGTCCTTTGATTTTTCAAGGTTAGCTTGTTTCTTCTTTGTCACACACCCTTCCTAGTTTATTTTTTACAAATCTGGATGAACGGTTTGATGATCTTCGATAAAAATCTAAATAAAATATCAGAAGATATTTATTAAAATAATGAAAAATCAAATACATTTTATTAGTTAGAATTAAATATAATATTATTATAATAATAAATATCTCTCTTAAATTTGTTATGAAAAATTGATCATGAAGCGTATTGATCAAACTAATATGATTGAAACATGCCTTAAAAAACGCTATGAGCAAAATTTTTCATTTAATTTTTCTTATATAAAACAGTGTATAAGCGAAATACTGTAAAATCAATTTTGTTGTATGAAATGGTATAAATGACATTTACAACGTAAAATGCATTTACAAAAATTAATATATTTAGGTTTAGAGTTGTTTAAAGCGTAATAAGTACGAATTAACCTTATACAGTTAAACTTCGATAGCGCTTTTCTAAATAACTGAATTTTCGTAAAGCCTTAATGAACTTGTTAACATATTTTTCTTTATAAATATTAAATAAGGTTTAGCAAAGCGCCTCTTCCATACATCATATCTGTAAATTACTAAAAGACCTTTTTATCGCCAAATCATGTGATTTTCAAACTCAAGCTGGTATATAAGATTTCATTACTATAGTACTGCAAAGTACAGTATATGTAATTCTTATCGTTATTAGCCTATTGCTTTTTAATTGAATGCCAATTTAAGAGGCGAACAGTGGCACTAAATTGAGATTTGAGTATATGTTAAACTACTATTTAATTTGCATTTTTAAATAAGACATATTAAACTTATTTAACATTAAATAATGGACGTTATATTTAAGTATGCTTTATTTCTTTCATTAAATATATATTATTTATTTATTTATTTGTAAATTCAGTATTAATCTTTCATTTATAAAATAAACGTGGGTAATTGTCCAATTTTAAAACAGGAATCCTTTCTAAAACTGGCTTATCAGAAATCTTCACAATTTATTTTGCTATTGACACGTGAAGAGAATCGATTTAGCTTGACTTGCCTACAATGCAAATATATGAACCAAAGGGAGCTTCCGAAGGCTAAATGGAAATGAATCTGGTTTTTGAAATTTAAAACTTTTCAAGTTAATAGAGCTATCAAACAAGTCCCTATTGCTATTTTTCTTTAAAACACTTGTATAATTTTTCATTATTTAAAAAATAAGAAATTTCATGTGCAACGCATTGATCATTATTAGAATATAAGAACGAAAATTTTATATATCACGACAAAATGTTAATAATATTAGCAATTTTAATTTAATATATAATTTATAACTAATTATTGTAGTTTGTATACACATAACATTACACATTGAAATTATCTAGTATATTGATTACTCTTTAAAAGATACGTTTAATGTGCTAAGTACCGAATATGCCATAATAAGTATTTTCTATTTCGTTCTCTTTTCAAATATGTCTAAATAAAGAAAGAAAATAACAACATATGACTAATAACAACCAGCAGTAATCTGTTTTTTTTTTCCTAATGGGTACATTTGAATAATATTTTTATTACATGCGGTTACGGTTGTACCGTACAGTACAGTTGAGAAATTTTAAACGAAATGTTTTCAAGGTAACAATGTTATTTATAATTTAAAAATATAAGAATCAGGTGAGATATTTTTATTATAACGTGAAAAATTGCATGATAATCTGAATTTTTTAGTAATTTAATTATAATACGCTATAATATAGAGAAAAATTAAAATTCACATATACAAGTGTCCTTCACATCGTTCTCCTTGTTTTAAAATTCATTCGAAGATGTTTAAAAAGGTATATTTATGCATTAACTAATAACATTTTAAAAATAAATTATCTTTCTAACAATAAATGTATTTCATTCTTTACTTTGTTAATGAGTAACACCGCAAATATCGCGTGTTGCAATTTCTTTCATACGCATATTCTCATAAAAATGATAACAATTTCAAACTGCATTTCTTAATTAATATAATATAATAAATTAATGTTAAAATATAAAATTATAAAAATAAATAAAATGCGGTTCGAATGCGAATCATATTTTAGCTACAGCATTCAAAATTCGGATTATTAATTCTCCAGAAGTCAGCATTATTAAATTATTGATATTTCATGAAATAAAATGTACAGTACTTTATGTATATTAAATTTTCTATTTAATATTTAAGTGTTTTTATATACTCGAAATATTAATTTCTTGTACAATTAAGAAAACGGTCTTGTTTCGTCAGATGGATAATTTTTTATTATATTATTAAATTATTGAATTAATAGTATATTTTATTTTAGATTTATTTTAGAATATTTAATTCTTATTTCAATGTTCTATGATTAAGTTATTAGAGCTAATTGTCCATTAAAAATTATGTTCTATATTTACTGGATAATTAATTATCAAATTTACTAAAATTAATGAATTTTTACATATATAAAATACCTTCTTTTATAAAAGTTATTTATTATAAAAGTTAAAAACAGTTTTTTAATTCAAATTAATTAAAAATTTTCTAAAAGACGATTACTAATTTAGAATTAAATGTGAACTTGTTATTATACAATACATAATTTTTCTGCCAAGATTTATTTCTTATAAACACATTTAATTTAAATCGAAATAAAATATTTACAGTAATGTAAATAGATTCTAAGAATTATAAATAGTTCTTTGTTTCCTAATGTTTATTTAATAGAATAATTATTAATTAACTCGCAGACTGTCCAAGATAAAATATGAGTTATTTAATCTGCAATTCTGACAATGGAAAGTATCAAAAAAAGAGGTAAAAAGTTAGCCATTGATTTCGTTAAAAAACATCTGAAAAAAAAGTAAAGTAAAAAGGGCGTTAACAAACCACAGCGAGAAGCTAAACAAGTTTATGATGAAAGTATAGTCTCATCCTTTCAGGGATTTCCAAACTGACAATGTCACAAATTTAAAACAGAAAATTAATGAGAAAATCAGTACTCATATGTTTTCCATGACAGAAATCCAAACAAAGATCACGAGATCAAGTGATAACGTCCAAAAGAATTATAAGTGAATAGATCTGCGGGTGTTTATCTGTTAAATTTATAGACGTAAAGATAAATTTTGATTATTAAAATTAGTAATTATTGAAAATTGAAATTCATTTAAGATTGTCCCAATATCGTCTTGTATATGCCAGAATACGTCAATGAAGTTTCAATTTAAATACTCATGAAAAATTCATTACTTAAGCTTTTAAATGTCAATTGGAGTTTTTCAATCAATCTTAAGATCTTAGCAATTAAATTTGAAATTAATTTTAAGCATTAGATTACAATACGGTATCAGAATTCAATTATTCCAGAAATTGAACTATGAAAAGTTTATAAATTTAAATAAAAATTCTACACCTGATAAAATAACTAAATTAGAAGTTTTAATAAAAATTATAATAAAGATAGTTATAAATTTTTTAATCATTGATTTTTAAATTTATTTATTATAGTTTTACATTATAAACTAGCTTTAACACAATGTAGAATTTTATCAAACAAAACACAGCAGTTTAAGATACAGATTATATATAATAATCTTTGTAACAAGATTAATATTCTTGTCTATTAAGCATAACGAAATTTAACCATTATAATTTAGTATACGAAGTTTTTAAAAGTCTTTTTTACATTTTAAATTATAGTTTAATTAGAAATGAGAGATTATGAGATCTCAAATTTCGCCAAAAATAAATAAAAATTGTATGTAAACTTATTGCAAAAGAAAGGAGCTAGGGATTTTTCCCGGTCCTAGTAGTTCCTACTCCTATGAATTAATTTTATTTTTACTAACAAAAAATAAAATCTTTAGGATGGATTTTTATTAATAAAGAAAAATTCTGCATATTTTATTTGTTCAAAAATAAAATAATAATAACAACAATAATAATAATAAGGCCGAAGGGGCCCTCATTTACAGGCCCAAACAATCTCTCGAAGACTCCGAAGATTATAAAACGATATTAGAAACATTTAATATAAAAACAAACGACTATTAATTTGCGTTTTATTCAGTTTATATAATTATTTGTTTAATTATATAATTTTATATATATTTGGAACAATTATTTCGGAAATAAATGAATTCTTGGCATATTTTATATGAATTTTCGAGAGAATAAAATTCATACAGAATCTTTTTGATCTTCTAATAAAAAAGTATAACAAACTTTAATGAATCGTGAACACATGACTAAAAATAAGAAAGAGTAAGCAATCTTCATCTCATAAATAAATTCATCAGTTTGAGTTCATTTCCGGGTCTTGAAAATTTTCTAAGGTTATTGCAAGTGTTGAATCTATAATTTAGTTTATCAACTTGCAACGAAGAAAATTAATGGGTGCTAACTTTTTCGCCTTTTATAGTTTCGTTTTCTTTTTAAATGAAGGTGTCTGTAGTCGTTTTCAATCTAAGAAATCCTACTCTTGGCCGTGGAAGTGTTAACAAAATAGTTGAAATACATTGGGCGTGGTCCGAAATTCATCTATAACTCTTAAAATAGTTCATGATTATTTATTTAGCGTTTCTACAATCACAATGCAGTCAAATCATGAAGTGACCATTTCCTTCTTCCGTCATCTTTTAGCTAATTTTCTATTTAAATATAGTCAAATCACAGTCTACACCTCAAAATAAACATTTTTTTTTTTTTTTATCACTTAGCTTAGTTTGTATATACAAAAATCAAATTTAAATGTTAAGCAAAATGAGACATTATAAATTTTTAACCACAAAATATTTTTTAAACGTTCAACAGAAAATANTTAATGGATGTGCTATTTTAAAACATGTTTAATAAGTAATTGTGTGCAAATACAGAAAAATATTTTCATTCTATATTTTGCAAAATCTGCAATAATTCAATTCTTTATTATTGCTAGATAATCAATAAAACTTAATTAGTAATTTAATAATAATTCTTATTCAATTAATTGTTAGAATAATAAATGTAAACTCAATTTAAAATATATTAATATTCCATAATTTTAATTTAAATCAAAATTTTACAATTATAATTAACTCTTAA